ACTAGTTACAGGGTGCCAGCGACGGCATCTTTAAAAAGGCCGGCGACTACAATGGGAATGGAAAGCAAAAGTGTCTTTTCCTTCCGCAGACGCACTCTCACGCCAGCATACAGTATTTGCTACTCCTACAGCGCGGACTGGAGAAGATTATGCCTTTCTTAATAAGAATATTAAGAATAAGCAGTTTGGCTCTTGAGTGCATCACTGAACCCTGGCGTGGTAGTGTTTGTCCCCAAGATGGAAAGGAGAGACATTGTACCCAAATCATTCAGGGGACAGGAGTAACCCCCCAAGCCACCACAGCCATTCTTGACTTATTGTAGCCTCCCCACGCTCCCGCCTATAATATCCCCGTCCCAACCACAAAGCCGGAGATATCCCTAAGGGAGTTGGACAACAGTGCCCGAACACTTAGGGACCCATGTCCAAGACAATTGCGGTGCCGAACAGGCAGTGCCGGACAGTCGCAGAGAATGTGCACGGCGGTCTCATCGCCACCCCCACAAAATCTGCACAGGGGGGAGCCCGACTTCCCCAGCCTATGCAGGTGGTACTTCACTGGGCAGTGCCCCGTGAAGAAATTTGCAATAGTGCAAACCCGGCTCCTGCTCATCCCCAGCAACTCTGCGGTGAATCCGCTGGAGTACGCCGAAAGAAACACCTTTGCATGACGGCACCCTTTCGTCTCCCGCCAGTGACGGACGCTTTCCGCCGCGAGCAGGCAGGCAAGCCTGGCCCCACGGCGGAAGAAGGCAAACCGCAGAAAGACAGCGGCTGCACAAAGTCAGCCCCAGATCCCCTCCGCGACAGCCCATCGGCAATTTCGTTGCCCGCATGGCCACTATGGCCCGGCACCCAAATGAGCTTGACTCTGTTCTCCGATGCCAATTCCATAATTGCAGCAAGGCAGCCCCAGACCAGCTTGGATGTAATCTGAGCTGAACGAAGCGCCAGCAGTGCAGCCCTGCTGTCCGAGAACACACAGATGGTTCGGTTTCTATACCCCCTTTGTAAATTGATTCTCAGACAGATCTCTATTGCGTGTATTTCGGTCTGGAACACCGTGCAATACGGGTCAAAGGTTGCACATACACGCATGTCCGGGCGGCAGGTCACTCCCAGACAGGCCAGTCTCTGTAGCTTTTCCAGCTTGGCCCGCACACCCGCCTCCTGAACCTTACGGCACCATACAATTGACGCATAGGTTACGATGGGCCTAGCAAGAGCCGTATATAGCCACAGTGCTATTCTGGGACTAATTCCCCAGTTTCCCCAGATGAAGCTCCTACACGTCCACAAGGCCGCCGTAGCCCTCCCGATAACTCTATCTATATGGGTATTGCAGGAGAGACGATCACTCAGGGTTACCCCCAGATACTTCACCTACCTAGAGTAACTAATACGTTAACCAAACAGAATTGGGCTCGTTAATCTATCCCTGGTTCTGCGTCTGGTGAAGGCGACCAAACTGCTCTTGCTTGGATTTATATTTAACCCAACGCCTTCTCACCATCTCTCTATATCAAGGAAGCAGCCAACTGCCACCTCCCGCACCTCCAGTGAGTTTTCAAGGACCCTCACCAGACTCTGCAGAGCGAGTACAGTAGGCCTTCCCGACTGATAGGCATTCTGAGATTCATGCAAAAGATTGCTTCCCAGTGCATCATCCCGTATAAATCTATCAATCACTTTTTCCATTGCTTTCAATAGAAAAGAAGTAAGGCTGATTGGACGGAAAGACCTTGGGTGGTTGCTTGGCCGCTTATCCGCCTTCGGAATATACGTCACTTTAGCCACCCTCCATGCCTGAGGGATGTAACTTCACGCATAGCTGGCACGAAAAATTTCCAACAGTGTTTTAGCGATATGTTGGAAACCCCTCTGCAAAAATGCAGGATACATCCCATCATCACCTGGAGATTTGAAGGGCCTGAAAGAGAAAACAGCCCATCTAATCCTGCCCATCGTGAAGACCAGACGGGATCGTTGCCAGTCATCCGTCCTGGGCCAGGATGCCCTCGGTTTAATGACCGAATTTGAGTGATTCCGAAGAATCTCCGAGTCGGGAAAGTGCGTTGACGCCATAAGCTCCAACGTCTGCTTTCCGTTCTCAGTCATGGAGCCATCAGGCCGTTCCATTAGGCCCAACTGTGAAGACGCGCACTGCTGGAGAGTTCATCAAAGCCCTAGCAGAACGCCCTCCACGAAATTTTCTTCGCTTTCCTAATTTCTTTATTGTATTTCGTGAGTGAGTTTTTATACTCTTCCCACGAACCCAACGCCTTGGCCTTATTGAATAGCTTTCTGGTCTTTAGTCTAAGCCTTGAAAGCTCTTCATTCCACCACGAGCACTTCCTATTGCTCCGCCTCGGCTTAGCGCGGCAGCTCCCATGGTAGGCACTAGTAATAGCCGCCGTCAGAGCCTCGCTCGCTAGCACGATATCCATCACGGTTCTGACAGAAACAGGAATGGATCCAATCCCATCCATGAGGAGGGTTTCGAATTGACTCCAATCTGTGGATTGGGGTACCCGATACATTTCTTCAGCCAGGCCCCCAGAGACCATGATATCAAACCTAATCTGTCTATGATCAGACATGGATGTCTCATTTGAGACATGCCATCCCTAACCCTACTGCCGATAAACTCAGTGCAAAGGATGATGTCAAGGACCTCTTCCGTAATTGCATTTATGAATGTCGGCCTATTGCCCTCATTCATAACCATTAATTTATTGCTATATATAAATTCAAGTAGGCACTTTCCTCTTTTGTTTATATTACTGCTTTCCCAGACGGTGTGGTGGTCATTGCCATCTCTTCCCAATATTAGTTGGAAGTTCCTCCTTCCACAAAAGTCCACTAGATCTTTCAGTTGTTCGTCTGGGTGGGCACAGTCTCCCGGGAGGTAGGATGAGCACACAATGAACTCTGTTCAACCCCCGAAGACTTCACCTTCACCAACGCAGCTACCTGATCCTTAGAACAGTAATCTGGAATGGGAAAATACGTTAGCGTTTTACTAAACAAAATACAAGCCCTAGGCCTGCCCCCAGTTGCATTATCATACAATAGCTCAGCTGTTGGCCCTTAACCTGATCCTTCACTATGTAAGGCTCTTGAATAAGGGCGATATCGAGGTGATCTTTCATAAATCTATGAGCTAGAACATCAGTAGATGCCCTAGCATGCTGTAGATTTATTTGGATGCACCTCACAGCCATATCATTTCCTCCGGCTCTTGTCTATGGGCTTTGGCCCTTTAGACAAAGGCTTTACATGAGCCTTGCTTCCCGTTGCCGCCTTTTTACGCATCTTGGTGGGCGTCTGCCCTATCACAGCCTCTTTTTCCGTCCTAGGTGCCACACTAGCCCCTCCAACAGCAAATACCGAAGCAGTACCGGGCTTCCCAATGGGCTTGGGCCCTTTTGGTTCACCCGGGACGCTTGTATCCGGCGCGCTGGTCGATGGTCCTTCCGTTTCCGCCGTTTTTGGAGCGATCTCAGACTTTTCAATGAGTTTTGGCTCTTTTGGTTGGACTGAAGTGCTCGTCGTTGTCGCGGTGGGCGTTCGTTTTTTATTTTCTCCTGCCCTGCCGCCAGCACCTTGAGAGTATTTTCTTCCTTTAACTCGAACGGTAACACGAAAGAAGTTCAGGAAAAGTCGGAACTCCGCTTTCCGTAGATCTTCCAATCCGGAATCATCCACGGAAAAGGTGATGGAGCAGCCCCCGTCCTTTTCCTTATCCATCCTCAGCACCCTCCAGGAACTCATCTTGAGGCTGAGATTTTGCTTCCCTATCTTACTTAGAAATTTGTCCCTGGAGAGACTGACGGTTGTCTCGTCTTTGGGTACGTAGGTGACGCAGACATGCTGTTTGGACATGTCGTCGCCACCCAGCACCACGACGTTGCAACCGTCCCAAGGCTTCATCTTCGTGCAGACATTGGTTATCCACTCCCTGGTGTTTTGATTGTTGCATGTTACGGATATCCTTCCATCCCTTTGCAACGCTGCAGTGAATTGTGGATGAAAATCCACAACTTTATGGATTTCATATATGATGGCTACTTTGATTTTCCCCATCTGGACTTCGGATAGCCTTATTGATCTCTTTTTTCACGGCCCTGCATCAGGGGTGTTGCTTTCTGACCTTTCCCTCTTCTGGGGATGGTCGGCCACAACACCCCATCCGCAGACCGTCAGCTTTTCTAGCCTTTCCTTCTCATATTTGCGAGCTTCCTCTGGGGACATGCCATCCCTAATATAAGCCGCAATACGCCGCTTGGATGCACCAGAGAAATATTGTTTTTTTCCCTGATGTCCAACCTTTTCAGGTCCTCCTCAGTTTGTTGGATAATAGCTCCAAGAGAATCCTGATTATTCGCCTCCATCGGAGGCGCCGCCTTTTCCTCTACTGGCGTGACAGAGTTCCTCCTCTGCGTCCGTCTGGTCTAACTGCAGCACTAACTGTGTTTATATTAATGTTGTTCTTAGTATTGTTGTTGTTGTTGTAATTGTCACTGTTGTTATTGTTGTTGTTGTTGTTGTTGTTGTTGTTGTTGTTGTTGTTGTTGTTGTTATTGCAGTTATTGTATTTGTCACAGTTGTTGTTCTTATTGTTGTTGTTGTTATTGTTTACGTTCTCCATTTTGTTCCCACGAGTAGCGCGGGATGTATAGTCACCCATGGCAGAGCCCGGCATACCATGGGAAGGCTCGTTTAAACTGGAATGCGCCTGGTATTCAGAGTCCGCATACTAACGACTAAGCTCCCCCTTAGCCACGCAGTCATCGGCATATGCTGTTCCACCTTGACTTGGGACGCCTGTCGTCAGCTGACATATGGATATAGGGCTGACATATGGATACAAAGCAAGAGGCTCGCCGTGAGACATGACCACGACACGAACGTAACTTTGATCATTTCAATCACCCCTTTATCCTCCGCCATTACCGGGGCCCACGACTAGGAGGTGACAGTGCGGTTTTGGGCCCCTAAAAAATGTGGAACGCTTCACGATTTTGCGTATCATCCTTGCGCAGAGCCATGCTAATCTTCTCTGTAACGTTGCTAGTAAGGAGGCCGCTAAGCGATTGTAAGCATAAGAATCGACCAGGGGTTTTGACAGGGACTGCTTTGTTCCGTCTCACTGGTATCTTTGAAAGGGCAATAGAACAAAAGGAGATGACCTTGAGTTCTTGAATATAGAGATTACACGAGACAACTGCGAAGACCCTAGAGAGTAGGATGTCTTCTCCTCTCTATGAATGTCCATCGCACTAGTTACAAAAGTTGCAGAGACTGCTGTAGAAAGAATCTGAAACGATTGCAGAGACTGGCATGATTATCTTAAATCATTTTTACACTGAAATATAAATAACATATTAAAAATTTTCAAATTCTCTAATAATAAAATAATTGTCAACTAATTACATTATTATTATATAAATAATGTTCCACAAATATCATAAAATCTCAAATTGTTATATAGAATTCAAAAAAATATTATTTCTCATATTACATAAAAATTTTTTCTCATACAATATTAATAATATATTTACACTTTTATTTCGAAGTATTTATAGAAAAATGCACAAATCTTTTAATAATTCAATGTAATGTAATAAGTATATTAGTTCTCGCCCAAGGACATGCGATTAACAAAGGTAAATAAATAAGGTGTACATGCATTTATTTTGTATTTACTTTAACAATTCGGATTCATTCACCACGTAAAATGTTGAACTATCCGATAATACGGTTTTCAAATGCTCCAATTACATAATTTTGTAATGTATAGGCATCAATAGAGATGATAATGTAATTCAATCATACTAAAATACGATAAGTACCTAAAATACATTAAAAATAATTTTAGTTCAATAATTCCAAAGGTAAATAGCACTAATTATAAAATATGAGATCAAGATGAAAATTTATAACTTTAAACCAGAAAAATTCATCCTTTTTCCTCATTATATAATTATTACATCTATTATATCCAATACACTCTTTACAAAAATAAAATAAACAAATTAAATATTACCAAACATATCATTTACTGGAACAACCTCCCTAAATTTTTATTAAAACTATATTATTCAAAAATATTTTTATAAATTTCACACCTAATTTCAAATTTTATTATTGTCTATTTGTACTCTATATATACAAACTTACAAAAATATATCTACAATACAATTAACAAAAGAATTATTTTAAAAACGAGAAAAAAAATAGAGTTGACCTTGTCAACTCTGTGATACCCGTACGAATTTATTATCCTATGTGCGAATAACTAATGTGCCATAACTAACTACGGGGCAGACTATGACTTAAAGTTGCCGTATAACTATATGAATTTATGCAAAATTTCGAGTACTATGTGTTATTCAAAATACTGGTTGTGCCAAACTACTAATGATATTGTATGGCAGCTACCAGAAAGAGCCAAGAAATTTTAGCGAATTTTATCAAGCACATCGGCCCTACTAATATACTCACTTGTGTGAAATCTCAATATCACAGCTTTTATAGTTTCTGAGATATAGTCAAATAACTTTTGAAGTTGTATGGCAGGTACCAGAAGGAGCCAAGTAATTTCAACGACTTTTATGAGACACATTGGCCCTACTAATATATTCGTTTGTGTGAAATTTCAATACTATAGCTTTAATAGTTTCTGAAATATAGTCAAATAACTTTTGAAGTTGTATGGCAGGTACCAGAAGGAGCCAAGTAATTTCAACGACTTTTATGTGGCATATTGGCCCTACTAATATATTCACATGTGTGAAATCTCAATATCACAGCTTTTATAGTTTCTGAGATATAGCCAAATAACTTTTGAAGTTGTATGGCAGGTACCAGAAGGAGCCAAGTAATTTCAACGACTTTTATGGGGCATACTGGCCCTACTAATATATTCGTTTGTGTGAAATTTCAATACCATAACTTTTATAGTTTCTGAGATATAACCAAATAAATTTTGAAGTTGTATGGCAGCTACCCGAACCGGTAACCCGATCACGTCCAATTTAAATAGGGTTCTGGCACTTACTACAATAAATCATTTGTGAAAATTTGGTGAGCTTAGCTCAATTAGTTTTTGAGTTATCGTTCGGACGGACGGACGGACGGACGGACGGACGGACGGACGGACGGACGGACGGACGGATGGACAGACAAAGCTAAATCAACTCAGAATTTGACGCTGATCAAAAACATACACTTGAGTCTATATCTAACACCGTTATTTCTTAGCGTTACAAACGGTAAGGCAAATTTAGTATACCCTTCGAACATACGTTCGTACGGGTATAATAAAATAATGAGAACTTTACTAAATAAGTAGTATAATTTTCTACTTTTAAAATCCTGCATACCACTGCTGTGTTATAAGAATATTCAATCTGTTTCAAAATAAATGGGGCGTTTCAAAATTACAATTTGTTATACGTTCACACGTACAAATATTTATAAAAAGGACAAAATACTTTTAATTTTTATTCTTTAATTCTAATGTCAAAATCTTAAAACGCAAAATATAAAAGGATCTTCTGGGTTCTTTTTTTCTGTACAATTGAAAACTATATGCATATTACACACATACACCTATAATTGAAACTATTCATCAGATGAATATAAAAAGTGAAATTGTACTAATTTCTTTATTTGTCGCGACAAAACCCTTAAGCTATTAACAGATTTTTTTTTTTTTTTGAAAAAAATATCCTTTTCACAATAAAATTATTTTGAATATTTACAACAACATTAAGTACATATATTCATATAGGGCTGTTTGTTATATAGTTACAATTTCAATAAAGCCTTAAAAACTAATCTGATTTTCTGTTCTCTAATTGTCAAGTTGATCTTGTTTTTATTTTTTATTTTTATTTATTTTTTTTTTTGTTAGTCTTAGTTGTTTGCTTATTTTTAATTCTTTGTTTTCAATATTTTTACATACAATATGCAGTATTGCTGACTTTTTAAATAACATGCAAAAGTGTACAACATTTGTCAGAATGTGCATTTAAGATTTTAATATATGACTACAGGCATATGCCATATATGCATCGCTGTGTAATGTATGCAGCCATTGCTATAAATTTAGGCTGTATATAGCGAAGGCGAAATTTACATCCCATAAAAAATCCGAAAATTCTTCGATGTAGAAATATAAATGCAGTGAATTCTTTCAGAAAACTACTACAACGCAATGGAAGAATAAAAAATTTGTACACTATGTTACGTATACGTACACAAATTCACTTTTCGGAAACGCTTTCTTCGGTTATACTTCTTATCTATACAGTAGTGTTAACGAATATAAATCTTAAGAATTTGATTAGTTCTTTAAAAAATTTTTGGTATTTCGGAAGAAATTTATTCAAATTTTTTTTTTTGTTAATTAATATAAAATTAATCTTCAAAATTATTTTATATATAATTTCCATCTCATATTAATAAATCGTTTAAGAACACCCTGTATTCATTTAACACACAAATCCTTCGCATTTACAGCTGATTTCTTTATTTTTTACTTCCTAAATCCTGTCATATAGGATTTATTATTCCTAACTTAAAATACAATATCATCTACACATCTATACATACAAATGAAATATTTGCATTGGTGCAAAATATTTACCAACCACTGTGATTTTCAGCTATACGTATACCTTAATGTGGTATAAAAATTTTCCTCTTCACTTTTCGTTTTTTCCTCTTTTACAATTATTTTATAATGCCGCTGGTTTTTTGTTTGTTTTTTTAATGTTATCCTGTTGTTGAATGTGAGGGTTAATAAAAGAAAAATGTCATTCTTATATGGTATATTTTTTAATAGTAAATTTTTTACATATGTGAAATTTTCATTTCGATAGCGAATTTTGCTACCGAATTAAAAAAAAAAAACAAAAAGTTCATTCTGGTTTTGCGCCTTTAATAAATATGCCAATAATCTTAGCATCTACATGTCCTTCTATTTAGGAATTATTGTAACTTTATGCATTGTATGTTTTTTTTTTTAAATAAGAAATTTTATTTTTAGGGGTGATATAACAAAGTGATTATTGAATGTAAATTGGTCATTTTCAATAATGTGAAATAAATGAATAAATCCTTTTAATCCCTTTTTTTGCTACTTCATTGTTTGTTATTATGTTTATATTCGGAAGCTGTTGTTTATTATGCTGTTATTATTTTTCGTTTTTTTCGAGGATTGCCAAACAAAACTATCAAGGGTAAAACAAAATGCGTTTTTTTTTCTTCAGTGTTAAAAAAAGAAACTGGAAAAAAAAGGAACTCAAAGTGAGTGTAGTTTATAAGTGTTTTGTGGTATTGTAAAAAAAAAATATAGGAAAATTCAAATTTATTGCAATAAAATGAGGGTGATTTTTTTTTTCTCTTACTTAAATTGAAATTAATTTTCAAGAGGCTTTAGTTTTGTTCTTCTTGTATGCTGTTTTTTATGTTTGAATAACATTTTTTTGTATTCGCTATTGTAATAATAATAATATAATCATTAAGTATAAATGATCGCTTTATTAAGTATAACTAGTATATTATTGCTATTATATAAATATTATCGCAGAGACAGGATATCCGAAAATAATTTATCATTTATGGTTTTATAAAGATTTACAAAGAAAAAAAACATATTCTTGCAAAATTTATATCCTCCTTTTCTTTTCAATTTTTTACAATACTTAAATGCACGCTATTTACTTACTTAAAATAATTATAGTTTATTTGTAATTATTTCCAAAATTTCTTCATTTAAGATTCTGCCTTTAGGCTCTTACAGGTCAAATGAAATGCCATTTTTGTACTAGTAATTTTTTTAAATTTAAATATCATAAGAATTTTCATATTTTTTTTGTCGTTAAGCCACTCATCGTTAAAAATTTTCATGACCTCTCTTCGGCTATTCAACAATTATAGAACTTATAATAGAATATTGTAGAAGAGAGTAAATGAAGGCGTATATAAAAGAAATGAATTCAAAAATATTCAAATGTCATGCAAATCCTTGAGTATAAAATTATGAAAATTCAAATTTTAAACATTATGTAAAAATAATTTAATTTATGTAGT